GGCCGGCAGGCCAGGGGGCCGGGGAGCAAAGCGGCGGAACACGCGGGCAGCAGACAGCCCAGACGCGCGTCTGGGCTGTCCGCTGCCCGCGTGCTCTGCCGCTTTGCTTCCTCTCCCTGGTCTGCTGGAGACCAGGGAGAGAGCCCCGTTCGTAAGTGCAGATCCGACATAAGTCGGATCCGCGTAACTCGGGGACTGCCTGTACTGTGAAATCTGTAGGGCTTAGGTGGCAGAGAAAACCGAAATGCCTCAGTTCTTGGTGCTTTGGGCTACGTCTACACTGGCAGCTTCTTGTGCAAGAACTCTTTTGTGGAAGAGTTCTTGTGCAAGAACTCTTCCACAAGAGAATGTCTACACTGCCATGTGCTTTTGCACAAGAGATGTGCTTTTGTGCAAGAGCATCCATGGCGCACTCTTCCACAAGAAAGCTCTGATGGCCATTTTAACCTTAGGGGCTTCTTGTGCAAGAAATTCATGTTGCCTGTCTACACTGCCCTCTTCTGGAAGAACTCTTGCTCAAGAGGGCTTATTCCTCCTGGGGAGAGGAATAACTCTTCCAGAAGAAGCCCTGTTTTACAACGTTATACCATAAATTTACTTCTGGAAGAATGCTCGTGCAGTGTAGACAGCTGGCAAGTTTTTGCGGAAAAACGGCTGTTCTTCCGCAAGAAGCTGCCAAGTGTAGATGTAGTCCTGCTGTTCAGCACCATTCTAGTTCTTGTCACAGTACACAAATACTGTCTTTACTGGCATGCTCCAAATTAGACAGAAACTCTTGGGCAGAGCATTTTTGTACTAAACATGTCATCAATGCTGTAAGTGGAGACACTTTTAATTGCATGCTTATGCAAAGCCCTGGACAGAACCCTTTTAAGTAACAGTTGTAGATGATCTGTGAACAAAAGAGTGCTAGATTTTTCTTTATTTTTCTTAGGAAAGAGAAGCGAATTGATAACATTGAGATACAACACTTCATTGCAAAAAAAGCTGATCTCCTTTTTGCTCTTTCGTGGAAACCAAATACATCAACAGGTTCAGAATCAAATGAAGAGAATGAAGGTAAATTATATAATTACAGGTAAAAAGGTACTCTCTGACACACATCAGTTGTGAGAGTTCCCATGAAGGCCTTATATACACAATAAATTTTAAAAATAAATAATAATTTTGTTTCAGGTTTTTTGAAGCTTAGGAAATGCACGGAGTAAATAAATTATTTAATAATTTGAAGATTTATGAAAACATCTGTAAGACTTTCAAATAATTTGCAGTTGTAAACAACCATAATTAAAGCCTGTGTGGAATATATTGGGAAAAGTACATGTTTGCATTTTTGCTTAAATAAGCCTGTTTTAAGTTTATCTAATGTGAAAATGTAAGTACCCTGAGTGACTATAAAAATTGTACTACTGGTGTGAAAATGGTGTCAGTAAGCAGAGGAACATAAGACCCATACTGGGTCAAACCAGCGGTCCATCCAGACCAGTATCCAGTCCGCTGACAGTGGCCAAAACCAGATGCCCCAGAGGTAGGGAACACAACAGATAATCCTTACGTGATCCCTCCCCTGTCACTCACCTCCAGAGAAACAGAGGCTAGGGACGCCATTCCTACCCATCCTGGCTAATAGCCATTAATGGACCTAACCTTCATGAATGTATCTAGCTCTCTTGTTTTGAACCTGCCTTTGGCACCCCCACCCCCTTTTTCCCCTCAACTACCTGCCCTGGGCCACCACCCAAATCCTCTGCATCCCTTTTTCCCCCTTCTCCCAGGTCACAACTGCCTCCCAGATCCTGCAACCTCTCCTATACCCCTCCCCCAGGCCAGAATCCTCTCCTGCACCCATAACCCATCCTGGACCCTAAGCCCGTGCCCCAGATCATAATGGTCTCCTTCACCCAAATTCTCTCTCAGATCCCACACTCCTTCCTGCACCTCAGTTCTCTATCCCAAGCTCCCTTCTACACGCCACTCACCATCCCAGACTACGCACTCTCTCCACAGAAGTACGGCCCTTTACCATTTACCAAAATCTTGGAGTGGTGCCCCATTAAATTATTGCCAACTCCTCTCCTAGGAGATATTTGGCTGAGAAAAAAATTGATATGCAAATTCATACTTCAAAACTTCTGTAGCACAACCTTCTTGGCCTCTGTTCCCCCTGCTCTCCTCCTGCAAGCTCCCTGTGTGGCACCTTTCCATCCCCCTCAGTTTCAGGGACTTTGTACATCCAGCCCTTCCAAGAGGCTCTCCCAATCACTCCTACTATTTCTTTTCATCTTTGAATTAAGGTGTTAGGCTCTATTGGGAGAATGAGCACAGCTGAAGTAAGGATATTACTATGCTGAAAGGTGGCCAGTTGTTTGATTTGTAGACAATTACAGAGCTGACTGAAGCTGTTAGGCAACAGAAGTGTCAGGTGGAATACAGGATCTTGCTTGGTGCTGCCAATAACTCAAAATACAATTGATGCGAACCAATATCTCCTAGGGGTGTTAAATTTAATTAAATCAACTAGTTGACTAGTCATTGAATTTTCCATCAATTAGTCAATAAACGGGGGAGCCACAGCAGGGTTAGCTCCTGGCCCAGAAGCTAAACCTACTGTGGCTCTGCCTTTTAAATGTTTTAAGAGCCTGTTGGCTCTTAATACATTTAAAAAGTTGGTGTGCAGCGGGGGGACCCAGTGAAAGCCTGGAATCAGCTTGCGCCAGGTTCCCCCACTGTGCTTCTGATTTTTAAATGTATTAAGAGCCTGCTGGCTCTTAATACGTTTACAAAGCAGAGGTGCAGCATGTGGGACTGGGAGTGAGCTGGGAATCAGCTAATTCCCAGCTAGCACCCGGTCCCTGCTACTTCCCTGTGAAGCCGGCTCCCTCCCTCCCCGCACCAGCTCCTGATAGAGGCAGCAAGGTCAGGGGAAGCAATTAATTGAGGGACTAGTCAAATAGCTAATAAAGCTTTTGCTTATTGGATAGTCAACTAGTTGCTTACATCCCTAGTATCTCCTGGGTCTAGTAAATGCTGTGTGCTGCAGAGTTTTAGGGTAGCTATAAGAAGCAAGGGTTGACCTTGTGTTGATCAAAAACTACTATTTCTGGATAAGTAGACTAAAGAAATTGGCAGACTTTGAAAAGCAAATGTTATCCAATCCTCTTCGGACAGAAAATATAAATGTGGGAGGAGAGAATAAGATTTCTGGGGATTCTGACATGCATATGGCTAGGGCATGGGGTGAGAGTGGAAAGAGAGCTTTTATTTTCTTTGAGGTCAAGAAGGGTCAAGGGTTCCTATTGCAATGTTTTATGTTTATGCAATGTTGGAAAATGTTGGCTACACGTGGTACCTAATTAAGAAATATTAAATCACATTGGAGTTCATTATAGTATCAGAAATTTCAGAAGACAGCCGTTATTACATAACTTTTTCTCCTCATTAACTGTAGATTGTTATGCTGTTATGCCACCTTTGGAGCAGTTCATGGAGGTGCCAAGTGAGGACAGGAGAGAGCTGTTTTTCCGAGACATTGAGCGTGGAGATATCGTGATTGGAAGGATTAGTTCTATTCGTGAATTTGGCTTTTTCATGGTGTTGATCTGTCTGGGCAGCGGCGTTCTAAGAGAGATCTCCCATTTAGAAATCACTGTAAGACTTGACTACGATCAGTAACAAGTAAACTTATGCAAAGCAGTCTTGGCTTTCTAATGTGTTGGCTGCATCTTATGCCAGGGGCCTGAGTTACAAAGGATAAACTTGAGCTCTGGGATGGTTTGTAGTTCAAAGTCGTAATGCATTCTGGCTTTAATTAAGGTGGATGTTGCCTTGCTGTCTCAGCGAGACTTTTATTTCTTTACTGCTCAGATATTTTATCTGTAGGTTGAAAAGTTACTGTATTCATGGGTGCATGGACCTCAGTCTAATTTTAATCATACTAACATCACTCTGCTTTAATTCTCAGTTTTTGACAGATTTAGGCTTTGTCAATTCTAGCACTTTCATTGGTAAAACTTGTTGGTCGGGATGTGAAAAAAACATATCCTTGACCAACATAAGTTTTATTGACAGAAGCATGAGTGTGAACAGCACTGGTGTCAATGGGAGATGTTTTCCCGTTGGTATAGAGCAGCTACACAGAAGACCTTACAGCAGTGCAGCTGCAGCAGTATAATTGTTCTGCTGTGAGGTCTGTAGTGTAGACATTGGGGATGTTAAAATGCATTTATTCAAGAAAACACGGTAGGGGGGCTGCATGGAACCATGCACATTAATCGAAATCCCTCGTAGATGTTGTAAGATTAGTTTCCATCAAGTTTAATAATCACAAAATGGACTTTCTTTTAATAAAAATGAATTTATTTGTAAACATTTCTTCAAGGATTAAAGCTTGATGGAAACTGAATTATTTAAATTTGTCTTCAATATCAGCATCACAGATGAGTTCTGCCATTGTAATTAAAACCTTGATTATTTTTTTTTAACATAGTTGAATCATAGAATACTAGGACTGGAAGGGACCTCAAGAGGCCATCTAGTCCAGTTCCCCTGCCCTCATGGCAGGACCAAATACTGTCTAGACCATCCCTGATAGACATTTATCTAACCTACTCTTAAATATCTCCAGATATAGAGATTCCACAACCTTCCTCGGCAATTTATTCCTATGTTTGACTACCCTGACAGTTAGGAACTTTTCCCTAATGTCCAACCTAAACTTCCCTTGCTGCAGTTTAAGCCCATTGCTTTTTGTTCTATCCTCAGAGGCCAAGATGAACAAGTTTTCTCCCTCCTCCTTATGACACCCTTTTAGATATCTGAAAATTGCTATCATGTCTCCCCTCAATTTTCTCTCTTCTAAACTAAACAAACCCAATTCATTCAGCCATCCTTCATAGGTCATGTTCTCTAGACCTTTAATCATTCTTGTTGCTATTCTCTATATCCTCTCCAATTTCTCCTCATCCTTCTTGAAATGCGGTGCCCAGAACTGGACAGAATACTCCAACTTAGGCCTAATCAGCGCAGAGTAGAGCAGAAGAATGACTTCTCGTGTCTTGCTCACAACACACCTGTTGATACATCCCAGAATCATGTTTGCTTTTTTTGCAACAGCATCACGCTGCTGACTCATATTCAGCTTGTGGTCCACTATAACCCCTAAATCCCTTTCTGACGTACTCCTTCCTAGACAGTCGCTTCCCATTCAGTCTGTGTGAAACTCATTGTTCCTTCGTGGAACACTTTACATTTGTCTTTATTAAACTTTATCCTGTTTACCTCAGACCATTTCTCCAATTTGTCCAGATCATTTTGCATTATGACCCTATCCTCTAGAGCAGTCACAACCCCTCCCAGCTTGGTATCATCTGCAAACTTAATAAGCATACTTTCTATGCCAATATCTAAGTTGTTGACGAAGATATTGAACAGAGCCGGTCCCAAAACAGACCCCTGCGGAACCCCACTTGTTATGCCTTTCCAGCAGGATTGTGAACCATTAATAACTACTCTCTGAGTACGGTTATCCAGCCAGTTATGCACTCACCTTATAGTAGCTCCATCTAAGTTGTATTTGCCTAGTTTATTGATAAGAATATAATGCGAGACTGTGTCAAATGCCTTACTAAAGTCTAGGTATACCACATCCACCACTTTTCCCTTAGCCACAAGATTTATTATCCTATCAAAGAAAGCTATCAGATTGGTTTGACATGATTTGTTCTTTACAAATCCATGCTGGCTGTTCCCTTTCACCTTGCTACCTTCCAAGTGTTTACAGATGATTTCCTTAATTACTTCCTCCATTATCTTCCCTGGCACAGAAGTTAAACTAACTGGTCTGTAGTTTCCTGGGTTGTTCTTATTTCCCTTTTTATAAATGGGCACTGTATTTGCCCTTTTCCAGTCTTCTGGAATCTCTCCTGTCTCCCATGATTTTCCAAAGATGATAGCTAGAGGCTCAGATACCTCCTCTATCAGCTCCTTGAGTATTCTAGGATGCATTTCATCAGGCCCTGGTGACTTGCAGGCATCTAACTTTTCTAGGTGATTTTTAACTTGTTCTTTTTTTATTTTATCTTCTAAACCTCCCCCCTTCCCACTAGCATTCACTATGTTAGGCATTCCTTCAGACTTCTTGGTGAAGACCGAAACAAAGAAGTCATTAAGCATCTCTGCCATTTTCAAGTTTCCTGTTACTGTTTCTCCCTCTTCACTGACCAGTGGGACTACCCTGTCCTTGGTCTTCCTCTTGCTTCTAATGTACTTGTAAAAAGTTTTCTTGTTTCCCCATTATTCCCGTAGCTAGTTTGAGCTCATTTTGTGCCTTTGACATTCTAATCTTGCCCCTGCATTCCTGTGTTGTTTGCCTATATTCATCCTTTGTAATTTGTCCTACTTTCCATTTTTTGTGTGACTCCTTTTTTATTTTTAGATCATGCAAGATCTCGTGGTTAAGCCAAGGCGGTCTTTTGCCATATTTTATATCTTTCTGATAGCGGAATAGCTTGCTTTTGGGCCCTTAATAATGTCCCTTTGAAAAACTGCCAACTCTCCTCAGCTGTTTTTCCCCTCAGTCTTGATTCCCATGGGACCTTACCTATCAGCTCTGTGAGCTTACCAAAATCCTCCTCCCTGAAATCCATTGTCTCTATTTTGCTGTTCTCCCTTCTACCTTTCCTTAGACTTGTGAACTCTATGATTTCATGATCACTTTCACCCAAGCTGCCTTCTACTTTCAAATTCTCAACCAGTTCCTCTCTATTTGTTAGGATCAAATCTAGAACAGGTTCCCCCTGGTAGCTTTTTCAACCTTTTGAAAAAAAAAATTGCCTCCAATGCAGTCCAAGAACTTATTGGACAGTCTGTGCCCCGCTGTGTTATTTTCCCAATATATATCTGGATAGTTGAAGTCCCCCATCACCACCAAATCTTGGGCTTTGGCTGATATTGTTAATTGTTTAAAAAAAGTCTCATCCACTTCTTCCACCTGGGTAGGTGGCCTGTAGTAGACTCCTAGCATGACATCACCCTTGTTTTGAACCCCTTTTAGCCTAACCCAGAGATTCTCAACACTTCCATCTCCTATGTCCATCTCCACCTCACTCCAAGTGTGTTCATTTTTAATATATCAGGCAACACCTCCTCCCTTTTTTCCCCTGTCTATCCTTCCAAAGCAAGCTGTACCCTTCTATGCAAACGTTCCAATCATGTGTATTATCCCACCAAGTTTCTGTGTTGCCAACAATGTCATAATTGTACTTATTTATTAGCACTTCCAGTTCTTCCTTCTTATTATACAAATGTGAGAAGTATGGGTATAGGCATCTAAGATACTGATTTGACCTTGCCTCCCAGTTTTGCCCTGATCCTCCTTTCTCTCTGCCATTATAGCCCACGCTCCCTCCCATTTCCGACTCATCTCACAGGTCTTCATGTTCTCCACTTACCTGTGGGCTTTTCTCACCTGTCCCCGTCGAACCTATTTTAAAGCCTTCCTCACTAGGTTAGCTAGTCTGTGTCCAAATAGGGTCTTCCCCATCCTCGAAAGGTGAATGCCAACTCTGCCTAGCAGTCCTTCCTGGAATAGCATCCCGTGATCAAGGAAGCCAAAGCCCTCCTGGCGACACCTGGATAAATGGTATTTATTCACTAGGGTAAATAAATATTTATTCATGTGCCAGATTTTCATTGTGCAAATGGATACTTCTGGGCTGCGGGTAGTTATCTTCTAATGCAACACAGTTTTATTATCTTTATTAAGCTTGGAGTTCTTGGTCACATTTTTTGTCTTTTACATTGCAGGCTCTTTGTCCTTTGAGAGATGTGCCTTCTCATAGCAGCCATGGTGATCCTTTATCATATTATCAAACTGGCGACATTATACAAGGTACGTTTATATTAAAACTATTCTGGAAACTATTTCTTTCCAATTTTGTGGACTGTGTTCTCAAGTTTAAAATGTGGATTCTGCTTTTTTTTTTTTTTAAGCTGCAATCAAGGACATTGATCGTTACCATGAAAAGCTCACAGTATCATTACACAGCTCTGCTCTTCCACCCAGTCTTTCTAGCACTAAACTGGGGGTAATTAGTTCTGAAGACTTGCCTTTACATTATAGGTAAGAAGATGCATTTTTTTTCTGCTCACTATATCTGTTTAATTAAACATATGTCTCAAGAAACACTTTGGCAGAAACTGTCCTTTTAAAAAGGTCTTTGTCAAGATTTTCCTTTACTCTGCTCACTGACATATATTTTTCAGTTTTATACTATTGTCTCTTTTTCTTAAAAGGATTACTGTTCATATATGGGTGTAATTCACTTCAGAATTTTTCACGAAGGCTGTGTCTACACTAAAGGATTTTGCGCAAGAACAGCAGTTTTTGCGCAAAAATTGGCGGAGCGAGCGTCCACACCTCAAGTGCGTTTTTGCGCAAGAAAATTAACAGAACAGAGGGCTTTTGCCAGTAGAGTTATTCCTCTCCCCACAAGGAATAACTCCTTTTTTGCACTACAGCTCTTGCGTCCGCTCCTACCTTTTTGAGACAACTAGGGGTTTTTGCAGCAAAAGCGCCAATTGAAAAAACCACAGGTGCTCTGGTGTCTATTCTATGAATAGCAATCAGAGCTTTCTTGGGCAAGAGTGTCCATGCAATGTGGACACTCTCTTGCGCAAAAGCACATAGCTTTTACGATGTGCTTTGAGGTATGGACGTACTTTTCTGCAAGAAGTTTTTGTGGAAGATCTCTTCCATAAAAGGCTTCTTGTGCAAAAACTCTGCAGTGTAGACTAAGCCAAAAAGAAGAAAGTAAAAGCAGTATGAGATAATCTTAGGCAAAAGAGAGACACAGACAGACTTAAATATATACCACAGGAAATGAGCAGAGAATTACAGGACCATTGATAAACCCAAGACTTAAAGGGCAGAAATACAAAACTCTTGAAATCTGTCTTCAGCAAGAAGTACAGGAATGTAACTACCTCTTGGCCGTGCTTGTGGGGCTTGTGAAGGAGCAGCTGGTATTGCAAGAGGGAAGAGCCCACATGGGGTTTTCATGTACTGCTTCTCAGAAAGTAAGGCAGAGAGTGGGATAAAACAGGAGAGAGGAAAGGGAAAGAAACTTACCAAGAATTGTGCAGCTAATGGTTTAGAAGAGGGAACAGCAGCAAAGGCCAAGGAGTTTTCATTTCAGAGGAAACAAATGGTGTTGTTTTGTATTTCCACTTGAAGGAAGTGAAGCTGCATATTTTGATCGTGAACCAGTATTTGTTAAAGTATCAATGCACGTTGACTCTTTACATATGTAAACATTACTAAAATATGGATGGCCATATTTGTGTGTGTCATATTTTCTTTAAGGAGAAGTGTTGAAGTAGCCAATACTGCGGAGACATATGAAAAAGTCTTACATCATTCTTTGGGATTTGCTAATCCAGGAGTAGTTGAATTTTTATTAGGAAAACTAGGACTAAGTGAATCCAACCCACCATCATTAATGAGAGGCCTGCAAAGGTACAGTGACATTGCACTATCTCCATTACTTTCTAGAGAAAATTTCACTGCCTGAAATAAATGACTTTATTTGTAGTTTCCATTTAAAAATTTCTGTGGTCCAGTTACTTCAGCCTTGGGTAATCTTTTGTATCCTTACTGATGGTAATGTGAGCCCATCAGTTAAGTATAAAAGACATTCCAGAACAACAAACTTACTCATAGACTTGTCACCCTTAAAAAAAAAAAAAAAAAAAAAAGGCCCCTTTGTCCACCAGTAATCTGCTTGCTATTGTTTAATTTGGTAAACTGTTTACTGTATATTGGTGGTAACATTAGTTTAAAATCACAGGTTACTTTACATTTAATAATATTTATTCCCAACGATTTTAGTAATAGCTTGTTTTACTAATGGACCTGATCTTTTGAGATTCAAATAATTTTCCTTCAGATCTAGAAGATTAACATGTAGAGCAGGGGCTGGCACCTATGGCTCGCAAGGAAGCCAGATATGGTTCTTCTTCCTGGAGGTTTCTGGGGGGTGGGAGCAGCGGGTGTGTTACACAGTGCCTGCCACGGGGCATGCAAACAAGTGCCCCCCCTATCCCCTCATGCCCAGACCTCCACCCCTTCACTCACACATCTCTTCTGGCCAGAGAGCCCCTGACCCAAGTCCTCTGGCCAAAATCCTCCCTACCCCCAGCCTACTGGCCAAAAATCCCCCTTATCTACTGGCCAGATACCTTCTGCCTTCCCTCCCCCGGATAAAATCCCCCTCTGGCCACGCAGCCAGCTTCCTGCCTCCTTGCCAGGCAGCCTGCCCCCTGGCCAGACCTTACACCCTCACCTCCTCCCGCCCAGATCCTGCACTCCCGTCCCTATCCCATTCACTGGCAGCCCTGTCCCACACACTTAATCCCTCATTTTGGGCCCCACCCCAGAGCCTAGGGAGCCCCTAGCCTCTACTTACCCTGGAACCCCAGAAGAGTTATTCTGGCCTGAGGCCTTGAACCTCAGTCCTTCCTGCCCTCCCACTCACCATGGGGCTGAAGCACTAGGGGAAGGAGGTGTTTCAGTTGGGGGCCATATCAGTGAGAACTGGGGTTTTTGGAGGATTTTTTTTTCTTCTCACTTCTCTACCAGTTGGTAACAGAGATCAGTACAATGTTACACCACTGGGCACTATGGTCCACATTGACAATGTACCAACACCAGGCAGGCCTGTTGCCATAGAACAGATATTAACAGCAGTTAGTCAAAGTTAAGCTACTGTGCATTCTGTAAGTTTAGGCAATGCCACCTGCCGTTCAGGCGCCTAGTGCGCCGGCCCCCCCAAGGTGGGCCGGAGAGCACCCTTTGGGGTGTCCTCTTCTAGACAGGTACAAACAACTTACATCATTTCTTTATGTACCGGGTTGCCACCCTCTGTTGCCTAGATATCACCCCTCACCTTATGGAAGGGGGGCTTACTTACTAGTCTTCATGCTGTCAATTCCGATCTGGTCCTGAACTTAGGTCGGTATGTACATTAGTTTTTAGGGAGTCTTTGTACCAAGACATTTCTTATTAAGATGTTCCGTTACTCCCCTTTGGCTTACAGTTTGTACCCAGTGCCTCCCTGTGTCCTTCCATGCTCAACCTTACTTACATAATCACACAGTTATCAATAGGGCCTCTTTCTTGGCTCCTGTGTTACTGAACCAAAGTCTTGCTCATTAGATTGAAGGCCTGTTGCTGTTTTCATGTTACAGGCCTCTGTTTAGGCCTGCTGACTCCATGTTACTGACCCTCAACTTACTACATTCTTGAACCTCAATCCTCCCTGCCCCTCCCCCCACTGTGGGGCTGGAGCACCAGGGAAGTGAGGTGTTTCAGGTGGGGGTACATTAGTGAGGGTCAGGACTAATTTTTTTTCTGTGAGTCGGTGACCACTGACCCAAAAAAGGTCCCCCCCCCCTGCCATAAATAAAGACAACATTGAAATCTTTTGTGTTGGACATATTTTACTTTTATTTAAAAATAAAGCCTGGCCAGCAAGCCCCTAGTTGGGGCCCAGCCCTCATCTGGCTGCAGCTCATAGTGCTCCTGAGCCCATCGTATACTTAAACCCCCCTGTCCTGAGTCCCTCATACTCCCACATCCTGAAACTCCTACACCCCTGCATCCCCAGTCCCTTGCCATAACACTCCTGCATACACCCAGTCTCCTGCCCTGAGCTGGTCATACAACCCAGTCTCCTGCACCCCCACTTCACCAGCACCCTGCCATAAGATTGACAGAAGACAGCCTGATTGCATGAGTGAAGTTGGATTTGGCCAGTTATGCTGTAAACTTCAAAGAAATGTGTGAAAAAATGCAGCAGCAGAAGTTCCATTAAATATAGTCTGTAAGAACAATATTTAATTTATGCTATTAATCATTATGTCAGTTATCAATAATATTACATTTTGTGTTTTCAGTCATGTGAATGGGCATTCTTACACGGCTCTCTGTTGACTACTTACTCTGAATTTTGATGTAGTTTTTACTCTTTGGTTTGAAAAGGTTGCCGATGTAGGGTATTTCCCATTCATTAGGTACTCAACACTTAATCTATTCATACAGCTGGCATGAAATGATATTTGACTGCAATTGACAAACACATTTAGGGAGACTTTGACTTAGGAAATCAGAGATGCTGTTGCTGATTTGTGGAGAGAGTAATATAGTATTGTGTTTAGCCATCCTGAAATTTTATTTAAACCTTGGTATAGATTTTTGATAATATAGACTTAGAAGGAAACTTGGGCAGTTAATAAACTATTCCCTTTATTTCTTTTCTTTTTTTAACAGTAAAAACTTCAATGAAGAAGACTTTGCCTTTGCATTGAGGAAGAAGCAGTCTGCATCTTGGGCCTTGAAATGGTACAGATTTTTGTCTCTTTTCTTGTCAGGCAATTTAGGTGTCATCTACCTTTGGAATCAGTGATCATAGTTATTCATGTTTCTTTGTACCTGTGTTCACAATAGAGATGTTAATGGTTAATTGGTAAGCCTCACCTGTTAAGTTTCAGTTAACCAGTGGGGGCTGGAGCAGTCTGCCACAGGCAAAGGGCTGCTTCAGCCCCGTGGATTCTGTCCTGGGTGAGAGGCATTTCAGCCCAGCTGAAGCAGCTCCTTCTCTGCAGTGGGCCAGTCTGGCATGCTGCTGAAGGCATCCTGGAAGCATTAAGGGCAGGGGTGCTCTAGAGCAACCGGCAGAGCCCCCAATTGTGATGGGGGGCTGCTCCAGCCTGCCCCTTTTCATCATTTCACCTGTTAAACTTAACGTTTAACTGGTTAACTAATTAAATGGTATTTTATATCCCTAATTCACAGTGAATAACTTCCTGAATAGCACCAGCGAGCAGCTTGCTGAGTGGCTCTGGTCAGTTGTGGAGATGAGGGAGCTCTGTTTATCAATTGAGGGAAAAAAATTTTTTAAGGAAAAGCCTTTAGCTTAGTTCCCAAAGGTTAAAGTTGCTTGTAACTTGTGCTGACTTCTGAAATTAGATCAGAGCACTGCTCTGTCTTGTCATCTCATTTTTCCCATAGGACCCTAGCTTTAATACCTGGTTCAGCCTTTTATAAATAGCAGTCAGATGACCTTGAATTCTCTCATCTTGATACCTGAGTCTGAGCCAGGACTTGTGAGCAGTTCCCCTGTGGTCTGAGCTGGTGTCTGTCATTGTGTGTCAATGCTGAATGCACTGTCTGAGAGCATTTGAAGAAGCTGCAGTTGCTGTTTATTTTACGCTGTGCCTGGGATGAAGCTGTAGGTTGTACTCTATTCTTCCATAGTCCAGCAGGCACCCAGGAGATGGAGCTGATTAGGAATTTTCCAACAAAATGTTTTTCATTGAAAAATGCTGATTCATAGGAAAGAGTTGGATTTGATTAACATCTTGAGATGATTTTTTTTTTTTTTTTTTTAAAGATTGGCAGAATTTCAAAATTGTCAAACATCTTGTTTCAGCACTGCTGTGGGTGAATAGGAAATGGTTATATTCTCTCAGCTCAGCAGCCTCTGCCCCTAACTCAATCATGTTGGGAATTCTTCCTTGCCATTCTGGTCTCAACTCCTGATCATGGAAATTCTTGAGATGAGTAGGGAGGTACACTGAAGCAATATTTAGTTGGGAAGTAGTCCTAGACACACACGATACAGCTGGAAGGGGAATAAGATTGAATTAGTGGTGGCGGAGATGTCAGCCTCAGGAACTTTCTTAAATTTTAATTTAGCACACCATTTATTTCATTAATAAAGGCGTGCTTAATTTATGATAGTGTGGATCCCACAATATTAGGCTTCCATCAGAATTTCAAAAGTGGTGGGAGTCTTGGCTGCCTGCCCTCCGGCGTCCTGCTGTAAGCTTTTCCAAATTACTGCAAATAAGGAAGGTCCATTATTACTTTTCTGCAATTTTTCATGTCTTGTCTGCAACTTGAGCTGCAGTTATTTGACAAATGTGCTGCAATTCAAGTAGGCTTTTTTCCATTGGAGATCAAGTACAACCATTTTCTGTAATCTGTGGCTATATACTGCTATATTAAATCATTACTCTGGATTGTTATAGTGAATTATGATAAAGCTTATATGAAAGTCAGAGCTCCAACAGTTAACTCACTGGAAGATAAATTATCTTTAGACAAAGGAGAGAAGCTTCAGTTTGCAAGATGTGAAATATAGTCTTAAAGCATCTTAAATTTGGACAAATTGACTTCAGCATTGTTGTGCCTCTTTACAGTAATGTTGAATGTGTCCTTTTATATTATAAAGCTGCATCTATAGTTAGCATTTATATTGGCAAAACTTTTGTTGCTTAGTGGTATGAAAAAAACACTCCCCCTGAACAACGTGTAAGTTTTGTCAGCACAAGTACTGGTGTGCACAGCGCCTTATCAGTGGACGAGTTACTTCTTCTGAGTGAACTGGCTATAATACCGTGGTCACCAACCCGTCGATCGCGAGGCCTCGACCAGTCGATCGTGAGGCGTTCGGGCAACCCCGCCCCCCATTTCCCCCCCCCCCCCGAGAAGCCCCACTACCTACCTCTAGTGTAGTGCCGGCTTCCCGCGGGGTGGACGGAAGTCCTCTCTGAAGCCCGCGTCACTTTCCGGGGGTTCCAGAAGTGCGCGGGCTGCTCCCCCTCCCACAGCTCTGTTGCGTGCTGGCGGGAGGGGCTCTGGCCGTGGAGGAGGAGTGCGGAGGCTTCCCTGCGCCGCCGGCACTGGAGGGGTGAGTTGGGCGCAGGGGTTTCCCTGCGCCGCGGGAGCGGGAGTCGGCTCCGGGGTTTGGCTGGGCTGGGCCACACCGTGGAAGGGGGGGGTTTGACCCTGGGGCAGGCGCCCGCGGGGGTTGGCCATGCTGCAGGAGGGGGTTGGCCGCGCTGCACCACGGGAGGGGGGTTTTGCCCCGGGGCAGGTGCCCGCAGGGGTTGGCCGCGCTGCGGGAGGGGAGGGGGGGTTGGGCCC